ACTTCTCGTTAATTAAAAAATGATTTTAATAGAAATAAAACATTTTTAGGGAACCCTACACTTAAGCAGTATAAAATAATCTGCTATTTCCTGAACGGCACAAAATCAATACGACCAAGGTTTATACATTTATTACAAGTGAACACTATTACAACGGGTAATTATGGACTATCCAGCAAATAAAACGTGGAAATACATGTCTGTTCTTTTACCACAGGATCCACAAGATGCTGCTGAATACTGACGTCAGTAGAGAGTATATCCCGTGTTTGATATCCTCGATTCCAGCACAAGCAGCCCAGCAATCTGATATAATATGGCTTCCAAACTAAATATACCGCACAATCAAGTTTTGCTCGCCGATCCAACATCTCATCTAAGAAACTCTTTCCCGAACCAAGTTCCATAACCAATGTCCAGGGCAAAAATTGAACACGGTTTTATTTACGATGAAAAATATTTAAAGACTGATGGTTCATTCTGACCAAATAAGGCTCGGGACTGAAGAGGAAGATGCAGTGCAGGAGGAAGATTTTGACAAAGAAGAAATGACGAGTTCTTCGGATCAGGAATATATAACAGAAAATGAGCCTATGGATGACAGCAGGAATGACTCAACACGGAAGAAGATGAAATGAGATCTCCATAAAAAAACGGGATATAAACAGGATATAAACCTCAAGGAGGAGAGGATGTAAGAGGTTGGAGAAGTTCAAGAACAATGAAAGGCATTAAACCTGTTCGATTCAGTGAGGTGTAGAGGGATTGAAAAATAGGGACTTGCCTGTTTCCGTATGTTGGTTATAGGAGAAATAAAGTGTAGAGTAGAGACAGATGACAGGAAGTTGACTACTCTGATCAACGTGTTGTAAAACAACACTATGCAATAAAGATGTAAAATTTCAGTTTATTTGATGCCGTTTAAGTGAAGCAGAACTTTGACAGATTATTTTACGCTGCTTATGTGAAGGATTACCAAAATCGTTTCGTTACTTTTTTTTCTTTTTGAAATCAGATTAGTCCTGTAAATGTTATAACTCATTCTAATATTGATGGGCGTTTTCTTCCAAAACCGTTTTGTTTTTGGTAATGTGGAAATCTAACAGACTTATTATGTCATTATTTTCTCTTCTACGGGGGCCTCACAAAACAAAAGAAAAAAAGAACAAAAAAAAAACAGGAAATTTAGTACGGTTTATTTAATTGTTGGAATTTTTATTGCAGTTATTTGAGACAAAAGCAGAGGATAGAAATTTAGTAGCTTAAAACAGAACAAAAGCAAAAATGGTAGATGTGGTGTTCAGACCCTGGCAAAATTTCTTGTCATTTTTCCGTTTCCAAGTTGAATATTCTTTCTTAAAGAGAACAATCACATAGCGTTGAAAATTTGATAACTTCTGTATCCTAGAACACATGTTTAAAAAAATGTAAATGTCAGTTAATCTTTTAGTTCATTTATATAGTAAAATATATACATAATTCTTTTTATATGTCAGTTTTTAGTTCATTTATATAGTAAAATATATAGATAATTCTTTTTATATATCAGTTAGTTTTTGGTTCATTCATATAGTAAAATATATGCATAATTCCTTTTATATGTCAGTTAGCTTTTAGTTCATTTATATAGTAAAATATATACATAATTCTTTTTATATGTCAGTTAACTTTTTAGTTCATTTATATAGCAAAATATATGCATAATTCTTTTTATATGTCATTTAATTTTTTAGTTCATTCATATATTTAAATATATACAAAATTCTTTTTATATGTCAGTTTTTAGTTCATTTATATAGTAAAATATATACATAATTCTTTTTATATGTCAGTTAGTTTTTAGTTCATTTATATAGTAAAATATATACATAATTCTTTTTATATGTCAGTTAGTTTTTAGTTCATTTATATAGTAAAATATATACATAATTCTTTTTATATGTCAGTTAGTTTTTAGTTCATTTATATAGTAAAATATATACATAATTCTTTTTATATGTCAGTTAGTTTTTGGTTCATTCATATAGTAAAATAAATGCATAATTCTTTTTATATGTCAGTTAGTTTTTAGTTCATTTATATAGTAAAATATATACATAATTCTTTTTATATGTCAGTTAGTTTTTAGTTCATTCATATAGTAAAATATATGCATAATTCTTTTTATGTGTCAGTTAGTTTTTAGTTCATTTATATAGTAAATATATACATAATTCTTTTTTATATGTCAGTTATTTTTAGTTCATTCATATAGTAAAATATATGCATAATTCTTTTTATGTGTCAGTTAGTTTTTTTAGTTCATTTTATAGTAAAATATATACATAATTCTTTTTTTATATGTCAGTTAGTTTTAGTTCATTCATATAGTAAAATATATACATAATTCTTTTTACATATATTATTCGGAATATTGTCCTCATTTTGTCGCCATATTTATTACAACATTTTGGCCGTTGTACGCTCCGGCCTTCTTCAGTTGGAATGTCGAACTGAACCCTATATTTAGCTCACTGGGGTAGACTTTTCTAGTTCCACGTGCCATGTCTAATGGATGTCAGTTATCAGTTATCTTCTGTTAATTCCCCTCTCCAAGTTCTCCCCTGCCTTAAACGGGTATTGAATTCACAGTTTTTGATCCTGTCACTGGATCTAACTAACGCCTTTATCCACTGTGCCATGTGTCCTCAAGTTCGACATTCCAACCGCCTGAAGAAGGCCGGAGCGTACAACGGCCGAAATGCTGTAATAAATATGGCGACAAAGATGAGGACAATAGTCCGAATAATGTAAATAGTGTGCATATTAACTCATCTTACAAATATAGACATAATTCTTTTTATATCTGAGTTAACTTTTAGTTCATTCATATAGTAAAATATATACATAATTCTTTTTATATGCCAGTTAACTTTTTAGTTCATTTATATAGCAAAATATATACATAATTCTTTTTATATGTCAGTTAGTTTTTAGTTCATTCATATAGTAAAATATATACATAATTCTTTTTACATATATTATTCGGAATATTGTCCTCATTTTGTCGCCATATTTATTACAACATTTTGGCCGTTGTACGCTCCGGCCTTCTTCAGTTGGAATGTCGAACTGAACCCTATATTTAGCTCACTGGGGTAGACTTTTCTAGTTCCACGTGCCATGCCTAATGGATGTCAGTTATCAGTTATCTTCTGTTAATTCCCCTCTCCAAGTTCTCCCCTGCCTTAAACGGGTATTGAATTCACAGTTTTTGGATCCTGTCACTGGATCTAACTAACGCCTTTATCCACTGTGCCATGTGTCCTCAAGTTCGACATTCCAACCGCCTGAAGAAGGCCGGAGCGTACAACGGCCGAAACGCTGTAATAAATATGGCAACAAAGATGAGGACAATAGTCCGAATAATGTAAATAGTGTGCATATTAACTCATCTCACAAATATAGACATAATTTTTTTTATATGTCAGTTAACTATTTAGTTCATTTATATAGTAAAACATGTGCATAATTCTTTTTATATGTCAGTTAACTTTTTAGTTCATTCATATAGTAAAATATATACATAATTCTTTTTATATGCCAGTTAACTTTTTAGTTCATTTATATAGCAAAAAAAAACATAATTCTTTTTATATGTCAGTTAATTTATAGTTCATTCATATAGTAAAATATATACATAATTCTTTTTATATGCCCGTTAACTTTTTAGTTCATTCATATAGTAAAATATATACATAATTCTTTTTATATGTCAGTTAACTTTTTAGTTCATTTATATAGCAAAATAAATACATAATTCTTTTTATATGTCAATTAAGTTCTTAGTTCATTCATATAGTAATATATATATATATAATTCTTTTTATATGTCAGTTAGTTTTTAGTTCATTTATATAGTAAAATATATGCATAATTCATTTTATATGTTAGTTAACGTTTTATATAATATAATATTTATTACAACGTTTCGGTCGTTGTACGCTCCGGCCTTCTTCAGTTGGAATGTTGAACTGAACCCTTTATTTAGCTCGCTGGGGTAAACTTTTCTAATTCCACGTGCCATGTGTAATGGATATCAGTTGTCAGTTATCTCCTGCTAATTCCCCTCTCCAAGTTCTCCCCTGCCTTAAACGGGTATTGAATTCACAGTTTTTGATCCTGTCACTGGATCTAACTAACGCCTTTATCCACTGTGCCATGTGTCCTCAAATTCGACATTCCAACCACCTGAAGAAGACCGGAGCGTACAACGGCCGAAACGCTGTAATAAATATGGCGACAAAGATTAGGACAATCGTCCGAACAATGTAAATAGTGTGCATATTAACTCATCTCACAAATATAGACATAATTCTTTTATATGTCAGTTAACTATTTAGTTCATTTATAAAGTAAAACATATGCATAATTCTTTTTATATGTCAGTTAACTTTTTAGTTCATTCATATAGTAAAATATATACATAATTCTTTTTATATGCCAGTTAACTTTGAGTTCATTCATATAGTAAAATATATACATAATTCTTTTTATATGTCAGTTAACTTTTTTATCATATAGTAAATCTAAAATGTTTTGTCTATTTGTAGTTACATGTACTGCTCATTTTTGTGATTGAAATTGTTCAAGTGATGTGTATTTTAATATTTATGAAGATCTTCGTTTGAACTTTGAAACACCAATCTACTGAAAGATCATCTTCTTTAATATTCATAGGATTAATTCGTTTGAAGCCATTTTAACCACTGATCTGAGAAACCGGTTTTACGCAGTTGATAGTTTAGACATTTCTCAATGAATTAAACGCCATTCATGATATCCATATGAACGTCTAGACCTGACGGGGTTATTTAAGAACATGCCCCGAGTTTCCAGGTCAATATTTTGGGTTTTGTGGCATCTTATGCAGTTAGGGAAAAGTATCCGAAGCGTAAAGTAGCCTTTGTTCAATTTCTCTTATATTAAATTTGTCATCACTCATCCAAACAACGATATATTTAAAATATTGAGAATTTATCAATTCTACGTTCTGATTTTTTTGTGAGCGATTCAGAATGGATGGAAGAAGACGAGAAGAAGATATGAGAAGGAAATAAGAAGGGAACAGAGAAAGGTGGAGAAAAAAAAACAAGAATAGAGATGAAAAAGAAATCTAGGAAGAAAGAAAATAAAAAAGGACAAAAAAAAAGAAGGGACGAAGAAGAAAACAAAAAAGGAAAAGAAGAAAGTGAAGAAGAAGAGTAGAATACCAACCTAAGAAGAAGAAGAAGAAGAAGAAGAAGAAGAAGAAGAAGAAGGGTCGAGGGGAGGAAGTAAACAAAAAAGGAAAAGAAGAAAGTCAGGGAGAAGAGCAGAATAATAACCTCAAAGCGGGAGGAGGAAGAAGAAGACAAAGAAGAAAAAGAAGTGTCGGGAAGAGGAAGAAAACAAAAAAGAAAAGCAGAGTGAGGGAGAAGAGTAGAATGCTAAACTCAAAGGAGGAGGAGGAGGAGGAGGAGGAAGAAGAAGAAGAAGAAGAAGAAGAAGAAGAAGAAGAAGAAGAAGAAGGGTCGAGAAGTGTGAAAATGTGAATAAGATAAAATTGTGAAAAACAATATAAATTATGCAATAAACAATGAAAAAAACATTCAACAGTTTTAAAAAATATCTAATGAAAACATACCGATATGGAATACAAAAGTACTTTTTGACTTGTTCTTTTTTTTGTTAATTTTCTTCGTAAGAAAATTTCTTTAATTTACAAACAATAACTTGTTCCCATTATTCAAAATGCACTTTGGCAAAAGAAAATCATTATTTTATTCTTTTCAAAATATTTCTTTGCTTTAATTCACTTCTCTCTTCTCTTTCCACTGTCCTATTTTGTGTTTTTCGAATTGTCTTGAAATATTTAATATCATTTGAAACGGAAAAGACAACTAAACCATTTATTAAATGAACACACAAACCAGAAAATCAGTAAAAAAATAAACATCTTTGGCCATGAAATCAAGTTACGACGTATTTGCTTTTTTTTTCGGTTAGTGGCGCGAAATAACTTTTAGATAATGGTGGGTTAACTGGAGCCAGGTGCTGTGGGAAAAACGCGGGTGTAGAAATGTAATTACATTGCTGTGCGATTTGAAATCAGGTTAGTGGGAATGGGGATGTCGAGGGCAGGGATAGTTCATTAATTTTGGTTGACTTCTCCACGCGCACACATGATCTTGTTTATTTATTTATTTGTTTGTTTATTGATTGATTGATTTATTTGTTGGTTGGTTTTGTTCCGATGAAACAGGACAGCAAAAATTCAAACTGTGACGAAGCAGAGATTAAATCCAGTTTAGAATTCTACTCAGATTTCTATTAGACATCTATTTTTTTTATATTATTAAAGTCTCTTTCTTTCTTTCTTTCTTTCTTTCTTTCTTTCTTTCTTTCTTTGTATACTTTCTTTCTTTCTTTCTTTCTTTCTTTCTTTCTTTCTTTCTTTCTTTCTTTCTTTCTTTTTCTTTCTTTCTTTCTTTCTTTTTCTTTCTCCTGTATACTTTCTTTTTCTTTCTTTCTTTCTTTCTTTCTTTTTCTTTCTTTCTTTCTTTCTTTCTTTCTTTCTTTTGTATACTTTTTTTCTTTTCTTTTTCTTTCTTTTTTCTTTCTTTTTTTTTTTTTTCTTTTTCTTTCTTTCTTTTTTTTTTCTTTCTTTTTCTTTTTCTTTCTTTCTTTTTTCTTTCTTTCTTTCTTTCTTTCTTTCTTTTCTTTCTTTTTCTTTCTTTTTTATACTTTCTTTCTTTCTTTCTTTCTTTCTTTCTTTTCTTTCTTTCTTTCTTTTTCTTTACTTTCTTTTTTCTTTCTTTCTTTCTTTGTATACTTTCTTTCTTTCCCTGTATACTTTCTTTCTTTCTTTCTTTCTTTCTTTCTCCGTATACTTTCTTTCTTTCTTTCTTTCTTTCTTTGTATACTTTCTTTCTTTCTTTCTTTCTTTCTTTCTTTCTTTCTTTCTTTCTTTGTATACTTTCTTTCTTTCCCTGTATACTTTCTTTCTTTCTTTTTTCTTTCTTTCTTTCTTTCTTTTTATTCTTTTTCTGTATTCTTTCTTTCTTTCGTATTCTTTTTTTCTTTCTTTCTTTTTCTTTCTTTCTTTCTTTCTTTTTTCTTTTCTTTCTTTCTTTCTTTCTGTTTCTTATTATTCATCACTCTGTATATATATATATATCAATGTTACCACCCGCCTCACTATTTCATACTCCCTCTCTCTCTAACATTTCTCCATAACATTTCTTATTTCATTGCAAATCAGATCTATCTATCTATCTATCTATCTATCTATCTATCTATCTATCTATCTATCTGTTTAACTTTCTCAGTATATCTATCTATCTATCTATCTATCTATCTATCTATCTATCTATCTGTTTAACTTTCTCAGTTTATCTATCTATCTATCTATCTATCTATCTATCTATCTATCTATCTATCTATCTATTTTATCTTTATCTACCTATATCACTCAGTTTATACTTTGTGTTTTTAAGCATTTCACCCCAAGCCATGGGTGCCACTAGCACGCAAGGGGTCACAGAAAGTGAGAGAAAAGAGTGGCTGTAGGTGATGGGGGTGGTGGTGAGGAAAGTAAAAAAAGAACAGGGATCAAGTCAAGAAAAGAGGGCGATTGACGTTGCATTTACATTTTTGAATATTGTAGATATCAGTGAAGCAAGTGAGAGTAAGGGAATTCCAATGTCGGGAAGTGCAAGGAAAGAAACTGTTGGAGTAGAAGTAGCGGTTGCATTTAACTATTTCAACAGTAAATTGGTGGGACCTAGTTGCCACTCTAGTAGCACGCTTGAATTCATGTATTCGGGGCACCAGGGAAAAAAGTTCGTCAGAGCAGTAGCCATGAAAATATTTGTAGGAAAGACAGAGGAAAGTCACGCCACGTCTGTGAGAAAGTGACTGGAGTCGAGATGCCAAGTCAGGACCGATAACATTGCAGATCCGGCTTTGAATTTTGTCGGGAACCTTGGGATGAATGTCAGGGGTACCAGGCCAAATATGGTAACAGTATTCAATGCTAGAATGAATGGTAAATTTGTAGATGTAGGAGATGGAATCTAACGAGAAACACCTTTGGCACGGCACAGTGAACTAACTTCCTTTGCAGTAGATGCAGCTGTTGATTCAATGTAGTTGTTCCACTTCAAGTCAGTCAGTCAGTTCATCTATCTATCTATCTATTAGCTTGTTTATATTCATCTTTTTGTCTTAGTCTTCATATATATATATATATATATATATATATATATATATATATATATATATATATCCACTCTTATGCATCACAGTTTCTTACAAATAATTCCCTCTCTCTATCTGAGACCCCCCTTATTGTTCCATTTCTATCACTCGATTACCTATCGATCACACTGCTTTCCTCATATAATTTTCCCATTTTTTTTCACTTTTATAAATCAGACCTTTACTTCTTCCTCAGTCTCTCTACGCTTTATTTAATTTCACTCCGTGTTTTAAGCGTTCTCTCCATCGATAATGTCACTTTCTGTGCTTGATTTAGACATCCTATTGCCAGAGTGTCTTTCTCTCATATCATTGTTTACTCTCCCTCTATGAGAAATATTGACTCATCTTAATGTCCGCCATTTTCTTCTCTGTGTTAAAAAAAATCAAGCGCATTTCATTTCAGAATTTGGTTTTAATTTGGTTTTAATTAACTGAAAAGAATCAGGCACACAATATTCAAAATAGAATAATAAGATATGGTCAAGAACTTCATTAATACGCCTGGTCTTATTATGCTGGGCTGAGCCCATCATGGACAAAATCGGCCTCAGTGGAACATCCTCTTTATGTATTTTCAGTAACCCATACATCCGGGGACTTTGGAAACCTACGGGACGAATATTATTATAAATTTCTTTAGATAGAAATTTTATCAAGTTCAAACAATCTCTTCTGTAATGGAACTTCAGTTTTTGAAGTATCGTCACAAGTGATGCCTCCAATTTTCCGAGACTTCCTACTATCATCCAATAGATAAAACAATAGAAATCTGTGTAAACTTTTTGTATCGTGGCCCAGTAAAGATTCCACCTTTCCTTGATAGTGTATTTGTCGAGTTGATGGAAATGTCTACGAAGTCTGTCTCCTTTAGCTTTGAAAACTGCATGTATCAACAAATAGATGGAGTAGCGATGGGTAGCCCGTAGGGTTCCTTGTTGGGCAACATTTTTGTTGGCTTTCATGAGAAACAACTCTTCGATAAGATTAGTAAGCCTTATTGTTACTTCCGCTATTTGGATGACATTTTTACATCTTTCTCCTCGTAGAGTAAAGCGGAAGAGTTTTTCTCTCACATTAATAATCTCTATCCTTCCTTAAAATATACAATGGAGATAAAAGAGTATAATTAACTTCCTTTCTTGGATGTAATGGTGGAGAGAGCACGTTTGGGATCTCTTTCTAGTGTTTACCGGAAACCCACTTTTTTCTGGGCTTTACTTAACTTACGTGATTCATTTGCACCCAGATCCAGGAAAATTAATCTTATTAGTACCCTTAGTCATCGTGCTTTGATGTTGTGTCCTGAGTGTAGATTTGACGTTGAGTTAAAGAAAATTAAACAGCTGTTATTAACGAATGGTTAGCTCAAAATGTGTTCTGACAGCTACCATTGAACAATAAATCGTTAAGTTCAATGAAGTTAAGAAATATGGTCTTTCCAAGTGTCCTGCTTATGTAATGCTCCCGTGGATTGGTCCCAGGTGTCAAACATACGCTGACAAAATTTCTGATTCTATTAAACTTTGTTTCAATGCCGTTATTCTCCGAAGTATTTTTACAACCAGGAGTGCTTTCTCCTGTTGTAGAGTACAGTGGAGGCTTGTATTTCACTAAGTCGGTCCTAAAAGGGTTCGACGTACAAAACGTTAGGAACTTGATATAATAGTTAATGACGCAGCAATCTAGTTGTGGTGGTTGATACTTTAATGTCCGACATCGACTGACTCACCAACTCCACTAAGCCCTGGCGACTGCCACTACTACTACTTATTATCTGTGGGAGAGAATAGGTGTGTTTCAGTATAACATCTCCCCATGCCGTAAGTTTGGTAATATATCAATAAAAATGTCGATGTGAGATCGACTATGTGGGCAAGACCATCCTGAGGTTGCGGGTTAGGATCACCCAGCATGTCCCAGGCCAGGTGAGGAGACACGAGCCTGTGATATCTGGGCGTTCGCAGACTCGTGATACTGCGATCGGTAAGCACCTTTTAAATTCTGTTGTTTGCAGGGCGAATTATTCCCCTGATTTCTTCTCTATGTAGCACAGGGCACGGACGAGACTATATTTAGACATCTTGGAGTTTATTATTATGACCATGAAACGTCCTGCCCTGTGTAGACAACGGGAGATGAAATACAAGTTGGCCCTATTCAAATAAAAACAATTGCCTGACTGTGAAGAAAATTATTGAAATGTTTTTGTCAATCTCCTCCACTCTCTCAATTGCCAGCTCTAGTTGGTAATTTATTCTTACGTTCAGGTTTTGGTAAAAAAAAAATTATGAACTGCTTTGTTTATATTGTCGACGTTTTTGTTTCTGAAGAAGTGTCGGTCGAAAGGCCCTGAAATGTTAAATCTTAATCGTGATATTTTTCTATTTTAATAATGAAATTATGATCCCTGTACTTATATATATATATATATATATATATATATATATATATATATATATATATATATATATATATATATATATATATATAACTTTGAGTGACCTAGATATAATATACATACGTACATGCATACTTAGAGTCACCTGACAATAACATACATATATACTTAGGGACACCTCGACATGGTGCAATGGTTAAGCAAGCTTGTATCGCTAGATCAGCTACGACTGAAAAGTGAGTGTGATCCTCAATAGGTGACCATCCATTGGGCCTTGTGCCACAACTAAGCTACGCTTAGAAAATA